TGGATGGAATATTTAAAAAAGTGTCTCCACACGTCTCCAACACTCTGGCTCACTAGGAAATCACAGCCTGATTCATCATCCGGTTTCACTTTGTGGAAACCGTCTGATCTCTTATCATTAGGATTTGTTTGCTCGACAGTAGATGGGTACTTTTTTTAATTTAACCAGTCACTGCTATTTGGTCATGACATATATATATATATATATATATATATATATATATATATATATATATATATATATATATATATATATATATATATATGCACTGCTAACAGGACCAACTGGTATATTAAGCTTTTCCCAAATCCCATTGGAAGAAGGACAATAACATCTTTCCCCTTGATAAAATTCACCAAACATTCTCTTTGTTCTGGCTTTAAATCCTCGATCTTGGGAATCGTTGACAACACAGAATATATGGCTCTTTGCTGACTCGCCACTCATTTTTGCGAACCATCTAGTGAATTCTGATTCCTGACCTAGTTGCTGGAGAGAAATGAAATTGAGCGGAGGCACTAGGTGGCTCCAGCCTGGCTAAGAAAATGAGGCCCTATGTCCAAAATTCCGAACTGTCCCTTTAAGTTGTTTTTATTAAATAATTTAACTTGCATATCTTTTGAATGGTGAGACGCCCTTAAAATGGCAAGAAATCCTTTAAAATAAATAATATATGCCTTGAATATCTTAAAGGCTGCTATGCTGTTGTGAGATTTTACTATACTAGGCCATGTTTTGTTTTATGCCTGCAAGTTCCACTAAAGAAAAAAAGTGAAAACGCTTTGGAAAATGTCTCTAGGCTACCTGTACAGCTAAACCTTCAGTTACGTAGACGTGCAAAGATGTATAGACTATAATATTTCCCCACATCAGTCAACAGCTCAGACAGAGATTGAAAGAATGTACCTGAGATTAAAATAACTTCCCACTGATCCAGGAGGTGATTAGTGATTGGCACCATTTTTCCACTGTCACCGTTTCTTGGCACTTGAGAAAACCTGATAAAGCTCAGTGGAGGTGAGTGCACAAGGTGGCTATGACAGGTTTTCATGTTTTTTTCCCCCCAAAATTATTACTTAGTTTCGATAGTATCTGTGTTAGATGTTTATCACAGTTGTACATCAGTTCACAGGCAGTTTGAGGAAATACAAAATGAGAAGTACAAAAATACAGAAAGAAGTGGTGAGTTCTAAAATCTCTAGCCTACCAATGTCATCAACACTGAAACTTCTGTCCAAAATACAGGGGAAATTTACGCACCAGAAACATATTTTTCTGATTTAAAATTATCTATATTGGGGACCAAGTCAGTGTTTTGTGAGTTTCAATTAAGTCTCAAGTCTTTGACCTCAAGTCCAAGTCAAGTCCCAAGTCAAAGACAGGCAAGTCCAAGTCGAGTCTTGAATCACTGGGCCAAAAGTCCAAGTCAAGCCCAAGCCTCAAGTCATTTCAAATCTTTAAACCAAAGTATCAAATATAGCTCAGATTTTTGCAATTTATATAACTTAAACAAATTTTTCTTATTTATGCAAGTATTTATATAAGAGTGTTTATATAAGAAATGCAAATTTTTCCTTTTTAAATGTCTTGTCAAGATCTTATTGTGAATCATTACGGTTAGAATAGAAAAAAATTCAGATTTAAAAGTGCTTAATCAATCAATCAATCAAGAACTTTATTAATCCCAAAAGGCAATTCAGTTTGCACATCTCTAGTCATGCACAATGTATAAATAATAAAAGAAAAAGAAAAACAGACGCTATACATTCAAACCTCAGTGCATCAGGGACACAATAGCAAATTTACTTTCCATTTAAAAGCTTTATGGCAGAAGGAATAAAAGATTTAGCGTAGCGGTTGGACTTAATAACAGTTATTTTAGTTTAGTTCTCTCTTGTGTCTGTTTTACTGCATTGTACTGTATATTACTGTATTGTATATTACTGTAGTACATTTGAGTATCACAGTATGTGATCATCCAAAGTACCAAAGAAAAGTGGGAGGGACATGTTCCAGTTTGTTCCTGTAAAATTCAGTACCACATTTATCAACTGTAAAGAGAAAAGTATTTTCTAAAAAAGATATTTAATTTTAGGAGAAACATCAAGTCTTCTCAAGTCACAGGCCTCAAGTCCAAGTCAAGTCCCGGGTCAAAAAATGAAGGTCCAGGAAGCGCTTCTTTTGAAACCTGAGTCATTGACCTTCAAGTCTGAATTGAATTCCAAGTCTTAGTCCATTTTATCAAGTCTCAAGTCTTAAAAATTGTGACTCAAGTCTGACTCGGGTCCAAGTTACGACTCACAGGTCCCCACCTCTGACTTTAAGCCATGTTAGAATGTTGTTACTTCCTCAAAAACAGACCTGGAGTGTTTTGTTTCACTGACACATGTTTGAGTAATCCTGCATTGTTAGTCTGTGTACATCTCCAAAGCTGAAAATGCACTGTTACGCTTTGTAATGTCATGTTTTGGTAACAGCTAGTATCTTTTACCTTTACTTGAGTAGGCAATTCCAGGGCTGAAATCATCTAAATGATTCTGTGTATGGAGTTTAAAAACAAGACAAGAACTCGGCCTAAATAAGCAGGGTATGTGTGTTAAATGTTAAATTAATGTGTGAATGAAACAAAACACAACTCCAGATGTTTGGGACGAGGAAACATTACAACATAAATCAGAAAATAACGTAATATGGGCCCTTTCACAAAGGAAGGCGTTATCGTTTATTTTCATTAGTCTAATCATAACTTTTGTGGTCACTCCTTTAGCGTAGATTAACATTATTTCAGTGTTGTGGAGTTACCTCTATGTCAGGGGTGGGCAATTATTTTTTCCATGGGGCCACATGAGAAACAGAAAATATTGTGAATGGCTGGTGCAAAATGTTTCACTCAATTCTGAATAATATAGCATAGTATTTCTTTATAAAAAGCAGTAAAGAGCATTGTTTTGATGAGCTGGAAAAACTGCTAAGAGTTTATGTTATGATTAAATAGGGGTGTGCAAAAATATCAATATATCGTATCATTTAATGTGATGATACAGTATCGACATCCGGGACTGCTGTGTCGATATATTGCCAAGAGTATTTTTTGTATATTTTACTTTGTTACAGCCCTACAATTTTGTTGTTTATTCAGAGGAAGGAAACTTGTTCATGCGACACATTTGACATTTTCACTGTTATGATGAGTAAAATGGGCGTGTTTCATATTAACTTTGCAGAAGAAGCGACTTAACAAAGACTTTTACTGTCACAGCCATGATTTAGCCATTATTTTTTATTAAACCGTATCAAATAGATTATCATATCATATCGAACAGAAAACACACTGTGTCAAGGTATGTATCATATCGTGGCCTATATATCGAGGTATGTATCTTATCGGCAACTTCTTAATGAAACCCAACCCTATGACTAAGCAATGAAAAAGTGAGGTTGCCTTACAAAAATGTAATTTAAAAAACACCTCTAAAATAAAAGCACTGCAGCTTTAGTCCATGCAAGAGGTAAAATATAAAATATGTTTGATGAAGAAAAGAGGTAGAGCACTTCACTGGGTCATAAAAATGTTAAAAATAGCAGTACAGGTGTTCTACAAGGGTTAAACTTGAAATCTTAACAGAATGTTACCCTTACTGAGATGTAAAAGTGCTCAAGGTACAAACCCGAGACACTCCGACTGAATATATTAAAAGTTCTTTATTACATGGAGCGACGACCAGCAAGATGGTCTTCATCAGGGCATAATGGAAGAACAGGACACACAGGTGCCATTAAATACAAATGATTATCAATCACATGACCACATCACATGACAATAGGAAAAGAAGACAACGAACAAAAGAAAAAACTAAACAGGTTGGTCAACCATGAGGAGGTGATGAGCAGACCCACCGAACAGCAACAGGATAAACAGGACATGCTGGAGATAAGGAGGTGTGTCCATCACATATGCAATTATAAATATACAATTAGACACCACAAAAATAAAATATGTCAGTCAACCAAAGAGCTGTATGTGGCCCCGGAGTTGGACAATGCCCAGATCTGCTCTACATAGTCTGTGTCACATTTGCCAAGACCAACAAGGAAGTAAAGTCAGAAGTGTCCCCATAACTTAGCTTGTTTTAAAAATTAACTAAAACTATACATACAGTCACTGAAATAAATGAATGGACCTGAAGCTCAAAAAGTGTATTCCTGCTTGAGTGAAATTCCCTTGGACTCTATGGACTCAGACTAAATGAGGGAAATTCTTATCTAGCCAGCCTGGCGCCACCTAGTGCCTCCGCTCAATTTTATTTCTCTCCAGCGACTAGGTCAGGAATCAGAATAAACTGGACGGTTCGCAAAAACCGTGGAAGTGCGAGTTCGTGCACCAGCCAATCAGCGAAGAGCCAAACATTCTGTGTTGGCAACAATTACCGGAGATCGAGGATTTAAAGCCGGAACAAAGAGAATGTTCGATGAATTTTATCTAGGGGAAAGACGTTATTGCCCTTCTTCCTACGGGATTTGGGAAAAGCTTAATATACCAGTTAACCCCATTAGTGGAGCATTAAGTACTTCATGACCAAACAGGAGAGACTGGTTAAATGATAAAACATATCCGCTTACCGTTGAGCGAACAAATTCTTACGCTGTGAGGTCAGACAGTTTCCCCGAAGTGAAACCAGTTGATGAATCAGGCTACTTGTTATCATCTTTAAATGCACTTTTTTATGCTGTTTTATTACTTTTGTATTGTATTGTTACTATATTATATGTTGTGTTTATGTTCCCTCATCCAGACATGTAAAAAAAAACTCAAAAAACATATGCTTTTTATAAATTTGTTTTGTAAAACCTTAAATCTAGACGTGTTTGGTGAAAAGATTAGTCTAACCTGTCACATATGCACTTTAAGCGAACTAACTGAGCGAGCCCCACCCTAGGGCCCTCCCCTTCCCTCCTCCTCCCTCCCTCCGCGCTCCCTCCTTCGCTCCTCTCCTCCTGACGCGACGATGGAAGAGAAGTTTGCCCGCGGCGCAGTCCACTGAACATTTTACTGTATTTCAAACGGAGGATCGCCAGCAAGAGCCCGCGGAGAAGCTTTCCTGGGAATGCGAGGGAATATCTGACAACATTTCCAAACGCGTCGCGAGTTTGTTTTTTCCCCCCTTCCAACATTAAAGCCGGTTCTTGGAGCAGATTGATGCCGCGAAAGTAGTGGGGAAAGCCCGGGTCAGAAGACAGCGGACACCGGCACGAGTGCTGGCTGCGACGGAGGGTGCTTTGTAGCGATTGACGTGGAAAAGAGGAGAAGAAAGGTGAAAGAAACAGACGAGAAGACATCGCTGAGAAAGTGATCAAGAGTCGACATGAATAACAACAAAATCGAGAAGGAAAACGAACAGACTGAGTTCACCAACCACGAAGAGGAGGTATGTATCCGGACGCACGCCGCACGCACCTGGCGCAGTTGTGAAGTCAGTCCTTGACCCGTAACCACAACTTAATTAACCCTTACGAACAAAACTCTAATCCTCCAAGAAATTCCCATATCCATACTTTGTAATTACGGCAATAATAAGCAACTTTAACAATATTTTTTTCATATCTAAAACGTGGACTACGCTATTTTTTTTTATCCAAAAGTTGTGTTAGTAATAATATGTCGCTGTACGCTTGGGTTGTGCTCTTCTGCTCTGCCTTTGTTGAATATTTTAAAACTCATTCAAATTTAAAAGTACTGTAAACCTCCTTTTTAAAGCTAGTCAAAGTAGAAAAAGTTGAAATTACGTGTGCATTTGCGTTATTTACAATGGACTAATCATGAAAACTGGAATATCTTGGATGTCAAATTGCCTCCTTGGTATTTCTATGAATTTTGGAGGAGACTGCAGATACTTAGCCCACCACTTGTGCCTGTTACTGTACCATAAAGCCAGACTTCACACATCACTGCAAAGCTGTACCAGTAAAGGGAATATCTTAGCCGGCATGAATTAGTTTTCACAGAAGCTAAGGGAGCAATTGGAGTTCAAACAACTGCTGCTGCAACATGTAGGCAATATTCCTTTGTATATCAGACCTATTACAATGAAGCCGGAGCAGAGGGGAGCAGGTCTCTTACTACTTTAATTACTACTGGAAAGAGTTCTCGAAATATCTTCAGTAAAAGTACAGTTACACGGACAAAAAACTGCTCATTCACAAGCCTACATTTAGGTGTACTACTTTAATTACCATCGGAAAGACTGCTCCTTTTCCTAGTAAAAGTACAGTTAAATGAATCATTTAAAAGCCTACATTTAGCTCTGCTGCTGCCAGAATTGTAGTAAGTGGAAGTAAAAGTGGAATAAAAATACTACTCAACGTACTTGACACTTTTATAACATCATATTAGATCAATATTTTACATAAAACTTAAAAAAAATTGAACTGTATGAAACCGAATGTAGTAATTTGAAACCAAAATCGGCATAATCTTTGGTAGAAAGGAGAGAGTGTGAGACAGTACTTATAATATCTATGATTTAGACTTACAATTACAGATACAAGGTTTAAAAATTTACTCAAAAAAGTTCTACTACTACAAAATCGACTCAATTACAGTCACACGAGTATTTGTACTTAGTTACTTCTCACGCCTGTTAATTACACATTAACTTGCAAGAATGTTTGTCTTGGTTTCTGGTGAAGTTTGTTTACGTTTCTAGAGGAGGACTGGACAATGGCCAAGTTTCTTTCCTGTTCAAACATTGAAATAATTGCACAATAGGGTTTCGGCTTTCTTAGTAAATACATGTGTAGTTCTTTGCATGGGGCGGTTTGCTTTGGCCCAGAGGTAGACTATCTCGCTCTAGTACCAATACTGATTTGTTTTTGCAGAGAGCCCTCCACATCTGCTGCCAAGTGATGTAAGAAAGGAAGGTATATAAGATGGTATCAGATATTTCTTGTGCAGTGATTAAATTAAGGCTGGATGTGCGTTCGTCGCTTTGTAACTGAATAGTGAAGCTGGTCTGATGGGTTGCCATATTGGGTGCACTGCTCTAAGTGGTTTCTATGGATGCTGAGAAGTACTGGTGTACAGATGATGTGGAGAGGAACTTTTAAGAAATCTAATGGGAAGAAAACTCAAAAAGCTTTACTAAGAGATTGCTACTGTAAAAGGAAAATTTTTAGGGTTGGGACATATATTGGAAAATGGATAATATCGCATTTGCAGTTCTGGAGATGTGTAAAATTACAATATTGAGTATTACATTAGGAAGTTGATTAAAAATAAAATGAGCACAATCATCTTGTGTAATTTCCCTAACAAGAAACTGGTGATTGATGATTTTTCTTCACTTTTGTGGTTAATTTACAGACATATTTGAGCACATTCATGATGCTTTTTGAAAATATCGTCTGAATATCACCATAGTCATAATGCAAAAAAAAAATCAAGATACATTTTTGCCAGTATCATTCATTCCTATATCATGAGTAGAGATGATCCAGGTTTTCTGTTCCAATACCGATGACGATACTTTGGCTTTAAGTATCTGCCAATATTTGATATCGACCGATAATTTAACTGATCACATAAGGTTAAAAAAAATTATCCAAATGTGTTTTGTAGCTACAGAACAGTTTGTAAAAATACAAGTTTAATATTATGAGATGTTTTGGGCCAACATTAGCTAGTAGGGATGTCACAATAACCGAAATATCGTGATATCGTATCGTCAAAAGTCTCACAATAATATCGTGGACTGTCACAATATATCGAATCACAAGTTCCTTTGCTTAAATGCATGGTTTTACAGTAGCAACAGCTTATAAACATTGGGAACTACATATCCCATAATTCATTTCAGTGCAGACACCATGAATATGTTTTTTACTTGAATTCTTGGGATTATGACGGAAATAATTCACACCAAAATCTTGTCAAAGCAAAAAAATGTCCTATCTACAATTATATTAGTTTATCCAAAATATCGCAATAAATATCGTACCATGAGATGCATATCATGATAATATCGCACTGATAGATTTGGATATCGTTACTTCCCTACTAGCTCTCAGATTGCCTTATTACATCAGTGTTTACCAAAATGGAATATTGACTGAACCAATATGTTGGAAGCCGATATCCAATCCACCAAAGTTTTAAATATGAGCGCCGATATCCGATACCCGATATTGTGATAGTACATTCCTGTTCATGAGGCATTTTATACTCTGTTTTATAGTTATGATCAAATCAATACAAAACCCTGGAATTAGGTCAAAATATGCTCCAGCAATATAATACTAAAATACAAGATTTTTTTTTAATTTTTTTAATCAAATCTAAGAATTTCAGATTGTCACTGATATATGAGTAAGCCTGCATTATTTTATTAGACGTCTACAGCCAATTCTGTGTCAGTAAAAGCTTTTGTAGAGTTTGACCTTGAGGGAGACGTTTTGTGTGGCATTTATTTAAAATTATGCGTTGTTTATGTACAAGAAATGTATTTGTTTTTAAAAAGAGAAAAAAAATCTATGAGAAACATGTACACATATATTTTTTGTCGCTCTGGATTTGAATTCATGATTTTCTGTGGTGATCAATTGGACAAAAAGTCTCAATATTTACTTATCACATATTACGACTGGTCTGAGCTAATATATGGCAGACCCTTTGTTCTGGTGATCTTTGTAAGGACAAAAATAGATCCAACTTGTGTCTTACAGCGTCTAGACAGAGGAGTAATGGCCAGAGAAATCTAATGCTTGTGAATATGTTTGGAGGCTATCCAGACTGGCACCAGCAAGAATTCACTTGAGTGGATTAAGGTACCTAAGGTTAAACAGTCATGATTTTATGAAAGAATATGTTTTGTATGCAGGGAGGGATGCTTTGTGCACACTGATGGAGAGGAGCAGGTGAAGACAAGATTAATGACTAATTTCTAAATACGCCGGGATGACTTGCACTTTCCTCAAGAACATTCAAGTTCATCCTCCGTGACTGTCCTGATTTAATTTTATGTTCCCATCTCGACTCAAACATACACAATGTTCCCCCATCAGTGAATCCTGTCCGCTGTAAAATGGACCACTGCTTGTTCTTAAGTAACTATAAACTACAACAGGCGACGTTTAAGAGGCTCGCTGGTATGATGCTCACATGTTTCGTAACGGCTAATTTATTTTCACAAATGTTTTTTATGGAGACGTTACATTTTTGAAACATGAAATTACATTATTTACCGGTACTATACTATCCCCCCCACTCTAAAACACACAGTTCACTCAATTGCAATTATGGTTTCTACATGATGTCACATTCTTTACAACGCTCAAATTGCTGGACATTAATTTAGTCCACTGGTTTACTTTGGATCGCTCCATTTCCTCCCAATTCAAAGCAATAAAACGCTTGTAATTAACAAAAATATACAAGCTTCTCTTGATTTAAACGACCTCTAAAGCTGTTGAGGAAGATGTGCAGGATACAGAGTTTATCAGACACATTTTTATCCCATGACAAAGTGAATTGTGATCGAATGAATAATATAACAATGAGCAAATGCCAAAGACTGCAGTTATTTAAACATGTAACTTTTTTGTTCAGATGGAGATGGCCACCTGCTGCTTTTTCAGTTTTTTTTTTTTTTTACACAGAAAATGTTCTGAAAAATGTGCATTCTTATTGCGAGCAAGCCCAGAAAATTAATATCAGGCCTTCCCAATTTTTTCCAGACATGCTCAGGTATTCCAGATAAACACATTTTGTTATAAGTTTACAAAAGTGAAAAGTTTATTTGTGATCTTTTAAAATCTTAATATCGGTATAAGTGATTTTGAAGTACAATATATTGTTGAAGAAAATATATTGAACAGCATTATGCCACTATATTCTAAGGATGTAACGATATCCAAATCTCTCAGTACAATATTATCACGATATGCATCTCACGGTACAATATTTACTGCGATATTTTGAAGAGGTGAATATAATTGTAGATAGGACACTTTTTTGCTTTTAAAATACCTTGAAAAGATTTTGGTGTGAATTATTTCCATCATAATCCCAAGAATTCAAGTAAAAAACTGATTTCTTCGCTTTTGCACTGAAATGAATCATGGGATATGTAGTTCCATGCATTTAAGCAAAAGAACTTGTGATTCGTATATTGTGAGATCCCACGATATTATTGTGAAACTTTTGATGATTGTTATTGTTACATCTCTATTATATTCTAATATACTATAACTAATACACTATATTCTAATACTACTCCATATGCAGTACTGACAATGAAAATGAGCTGCAGGAAGTAAATGAACTCAACCTTCTGCAATCCTATCATAGTACAGAAAAATAAATAAGTTTCCCATTAGTACAAAGTAAAAAGTACCCATAGTAAATACTGAACCCCAAAATAATTATAATGTA